TCACAGCTGAACGCGGAGGACCCCGACACAAGTGCAGGGCCTTCCGAGCGAATACGAAGAAATCAATGGTGACGCTGGGCGGCCAGTTAGCGACCGGAGAGCCCCGGCAACTGGACATGTTGGTCCCCTGTAACACCGCAATGAGCCCTTGAACCTCCCTAAAGCACTCTCAATAAGCAGATATTTGTTTTGCCCGCTCATTAGGCCCTTTAATTCTGTCTGCGGCTCTTGTTGGTCGCATTGAAATCTGTACTTGCGCTTTGCTGCTAAAAAAAAAAACTGCGTCCGTTCGGCCGGTTGTGGGCGCAGGATGTCGCGCGGTTATGAGCAAGCATCTGGGTTGGCTAGGGACACCACATGCGGTTATGAGCAAGCATCAGGATTGGCTGGGATCTCAGAACGGTATGTCCAGTATATAGGCATGTAGCCGTCAGCACCTTAGATAATGAGTGTGCAAATGAATGATCAGAATAGCGCAACGCAGTGGGAATGTACCATTCCTGATGCTAAGCGACTAATGAAACTTTGCAGAGCCGCTTCCGGCATGGTTATTCAGATGAACGATGAAATTCGGATGAAAAATTAAATCGCCATAACATCATCGGGATTAAAAATAAAACAGCCGGAGAGCCAATCGTCTGGGATAAAATCACGTCCGTACCAGCTAAAAACGCCCAAAGAGCCATCACCTGTTGGATGTGGCCACGTCATGCCCTTACACAAGCGTCTTGGTGAGAGGCTGCTGCACCTGCTGACAGGCAAGGTCACCGGGGGTCTGCTGAGGGTGAAGGTAGTATGGGCGGCTAGTGGCTCGCCACGGTTGAGTGAGTCCCCTTAGTGCTATGTTGATGTGCCTGAAACAGCGCTGAAGGGTATGACCGCCGGGCGACTTCCCTCTTGTCGCAAACAAACGCATATTTAACAGATGAGTGTGAGCAGCGTGCATGCTCGGTCTTAACACTCGGTTTTCGACGCGCAAACAGACAGTTTGTTTTGGCATGTTCGCCAACGCTTAGCATCGAAAACCCACTTTATTTTGTAATACCCCTCTTGTAGCGCACCTCGCAATCTTCCGTTCATGAAATACTTTACATCGTTTTAAATAAAGTGGTACCAGCACCCGTAGCGTCACACTCGCGCGAGGCCATTTAAATGCTGCAGACGTAGCTCTGGACACTGGTGCTCTTCCGGCCGTCGACCTTAACGTATTCATCGACGGCTCTCCATCATCGGCACCCGTCCAATGGCCGCTGCCCAGAGGGCGCCATGTTAGTGCAACCCTTACCCTTACCCAACCCCAACCCAAAAACCCTTACCGACAGAAGAGCTACGACATTATTAAGCGCGACGCAACTTCTACTGCAAAAACTTAAACAGACTTTACTTATATGCGGCATCACTTCTGCAAAGATTCATACACGACATAAATGCCAAACAACACAATTTATCCTTTAGAATCTTATATGCGTCATTACTTACACGGCAAAGACTTATGCAGTCTTCACTTGTACGCGACGTCGCTTCTACTACAAAGACTCATACGCAGCATGAGTGCTGCGCCACAAAATTTACCATGCAGCAAGAAATACGTGCCAGTCGTTACTTCTCCAGCAGAGACTAAGCCACAAGTTTCTGCTGTAGCACTAATGTCGCTATAAGTCTTGGCAGCAGAAGTGATGTCACGAATAAGCAATGGCTGTGTTAAGTTTGCAGTAGAGGTAATGGCCGCCATATATTTGTTAAGTATAAGTTTCTGCGTGCGGCATTAACGCCTGGTATATTTTTTTGCAGTAGCAAAATGTCGTGCACAACTAATAAGTGTATAAGTGTTTGCAACTAAAGTAATGACGGGCATAATTTTTGAAGCATAAGTTTTGTCGCGTAGCACTTAAGTCCTGTATGAGTATTGGCAGCAGAGGTAACGTCGTAGCGCTCCCGTAGGTAGCAGCTTTTGTTGTAGCATTAATGTCGTGGAATCGTCCACCGGACGTGACCCTAGACTCCGACTTAAGCAGTCGGATCGCATCCTGGCAGTAGCAGCTTTTGTTGTAGCACTAATGTCGTGGAATCGTCCACCGGACGTGACCCTAGACTCCGACTTAAGCAGTCGGATCGCATCCTGGCAGTAGCAGCTTTTGTTGTAGCACTAATGGCGTGGAATCGTCCACCGGACGTGACCCTAGACTCCGACTTAAGCAGTCGGACCGCATCCTGGATTACATCGAGAGACGTCAGGACGGCCCGGCACAGGGAAGCGCTCGGCAAATCCCAGCCGCTGCCTCGGGCCGGCTTGGCGGGACTTGCGCGAGCTTGTCGAGGCTCATCCATAGCCCGTTGCGAACGGGCCTGCGAGCGGCGCGGTCGCAGCCGGCCGGCCAGTCGCTGGCTGGTGGCCCTCAAGGTCGCAGTGCGCTGCTCGCCGCTGCTGCGCTGTCGTCCGTGAGGTCCGGCGAAGGTCAGGGCCTCGGCGAGGTGCACGGTGCGAGACCGCCTTACATGGTGGAGCGCTGCCCGACCGTGCGGTTCGGTGCGGGAGCTACGCGTCTGCCAGTCGAGCGCGTGTGGGGGTTGACGCGGCAGGGTCGCGCGGTCGTGACAGCGCCAGTGGAAGCTAGGGCAGCACCAGCGTGCCTTAGTTCCGTGCGGTCTCGTGGGCCGCACCGACATGGCGCTGGCACTGGGCGAAGCAGGTGTGGTGCAGTCTCAATGAGTGGGCAGTGCGACATGGACATCGACAGCATGAAGAGTCCAGGAGAGCTGCGAGACAAGACCGAATAGCAGAGAACCAACGCAGCGCAGTAAGACGGCAGCGAGTATGAGTAGGACAGGGCAAAAACAAAACCGCGGAAGATAATTGCGCAGCAAAGCAATAAACAGCGAAGGAAGGCTGGTGGGCAACGACGCATAGCTGATCAACAGCAAGGCATAAGCGGTGGCAGCCAGCAGCAAAACGGCGGAGGTGCAAAGCAGAACAGCCAGAAGCCAAACGACAAAGTAGCGACGCAGTGCATCAAAGTACGGAAGCATCGCGGTGGAACACGGTGGTGGACCAAGACGACTAAGCAGGACAGCGGACGAAAACAAGCTGTCGTATTTAAAGTGGAGTGGAATCGAGGAAGGCACCACAATGCCACTCGTCAAGAGACGTGAGCAGTGGGACTCGCAGTGCGACTTCATCCTCAGCTGCATCGGATACTCGGTGGGCGTGGGGAATATCTGGCGCTTCCCCTATCTGTGCTACAAGCACGGTGGCGGCACGTTCCTCATACCGTACATCATCATGCTTCTGGCGGTGGGCATACCCATGTACGTGATGGAACTGACGCTGGGCCAGTACGCCAGCCTCGGTCCCAACAAGCTGTTCCAGAAGCTGTCGCCGTTGTTCTCGGGCCTCGGCTACGCCATGCTGCTGATGACGACCCTCGTCTGCTTCACCTACAACATGGTGATCGCCTGGATCATCTTCTACGCTGCGGCATCCTTTACGTCAGAGCTCGCGTGGTCGCGGTGCGGGCACGACTACAACACAAGGGACTGCTTCACGACGGCCAGCGACGACTTCTGTGCGGAGAGCATTGGTGGAGCCAAGATATTCTGGAACAATACCTGCTACCCGGTTAGCGAGTTCTGCACTCAGCACGAGCTATCACCGTACAATAATACGCATTGCAGCAACAATACCGCTGAACAAATGGTGCTAGCCGATATTTTTAGCAATGTAGGTCACCGAGTGCTCGCCAGCGAGGAGTACTATGTCAACAATGTTTTAGGTGTAAAAAACCATAGCTGGCACAACTTTGGAAGCATGAAGTGGGACCTTTCACTCTGCTTGCTGGCTGCTTGGATTTTAGTGGGCTCCTGCATCTTCAGAGGCATCAAGTCTTTCGGTAAGATAATCTACTTTACCGTCTTTTTTCCGTATTTCATTCTCCTCATGCTGGTGCTTCCCACCACAGGACTAGACGGGGCCGTTGAAGGCCTCAGGTTCTTCGCCATCCCGGACTATCATCAGCTGTCAGACTTAACCGTTTGGGTAGACGCCGCATCCCAGACTTTCTATTCACTCGGCTGCAGTCACGGCGCACTCTTCACCTTGGCCAGTTTCAGTCGCTTCAGAAACAACTGCATGAGGGACGCCATCGTCGTGGGAATCGTCAACGCGGTGACGTCTGTCCTATCAGGCGTCATCGTGTTTTCGATGTTGGGTTTCATGGCCCTGCAAATGAACAAGACACTAACGGAGGTGGTTGACACGGACTTAGGACTGGCCTTCATTGTTTATCCGGAGACCCTGTCCCACATGCCGGTGGCGCCCCTCTGGAGCTCCCTCTTCTTCATCATGATGATCACGCTAGGTCTGGACTCTCAGTTCACCATGATGGAGTCGCTGACCACCGCTGTGTTTGATGAATGGCCACGCGTAGGCGGGAGGAAGGGGACCGTGGTAATGATAACTTGTGCAGTGTTCTTTGTGGCATGCCTGAGCATGTGCTTCAACGGCGGCGTGCTCCTTTTCGCGCTGGTCGACCACTATTCCGTCTCCTACTCGTTGTTTGTGATCGCGCTGGTGGAGGTGCTGGTCGTGGCCTGGGTGTTCGGCGCGGAGCGTCTGCTGAACTTGATGCAGAACGACATGGGCATCATCATTCCGACGCCTCTGCGGCTCTACTGGCTGGTCGCGTGGAAGTACGTCATGCCGCTGGTGCTGGTCTGCGCGCTGGTGCTCACTCTGGTGTTCCACAAACCCGTGTCGTACCGCTGCGGCGACGACGTGCAGTACTTCCCAGCGCTGACCCAGAACATTGGACTGGTGATGGCCGTGTCCCCGGCCTTCATACTCGTCGCCGTCGGTGTCGGAGTGGTCTGTACCCAGCTGTGGCGGGGCGGCAGACTGACGGCCCTCCTGCGCCCTACGGCCGACTGGGAGCCGCCGGCGCCGGCTAGCCGCGGTGTTGCCAACGAGGCCTTCGATGGCGCTAATTTGGGCATGAATTTGTGACGGCTTCCGGAACTTTGGTGATGAGCAACGGACATTCGTTGTCCCAGCGACAACCATCCACCACTGCATGATGTGCATGATTGTGGCGCGTGTGGACGTGCATGATGTGTGGCGCGTGCGCACCCACACCCACGCCCATACATTCACCAATGTATGTTCGCGCTCACATACTTTCTCCGCTTCTCACTCTTACAAGCATGTTCACCCTTGCCCATGCGGACATGCACGCTGGCCGCGGCGGGTTGGGTGCGGCCTGTTGGCGCCCTAGTGCGCACCACGTCGACCTCGACCCAGGGGCCGGTGCCGACCTTTGCAGGTGACTATTCAGTCATCGTGAGGTGTGATCACTGCGTGTGTGTTTCGTTGAGTGACTGCTGGTGTGCTTGCAAATAAAAAGTCAGGGAAAAACATAAACTCGATGCGATTGCGAACGCAATTATGACAGTGTTTTTGTCCGGTGCTGCTGCTGACACATCAGCCCGATCGCGTAAAACGCAGGCAAATGCGCTGTTGAATACATGTGTGCTCATTGGAAGCATCGCTCGCAGTTCAATTTACGATGGAATGTGTAGAAAGGTACCGTTATTTACATTGTTCGCGTAACGAACAAGGCTCTTGTTGAGTGTTGTATTTTTGTCGCGGGACTACGGATCACAAAACGTGTGTAGCTATGCATGTATTTCCTACATGTAATTATTGCGATATGAGCCCATGATTGTACACTGGGATGTTGCGTGGTGAATGTAATGACGACCAAAGGATCTCCGTAGTACTTCACCCTCTAGAAGGCAAAATGGCTCGTGGCACGAGAGATCCAGGCACTGAATCCCCAACGAAATACAAAGACACGAGAGGCTGTGACCGAAATATAATTCAATTGGATAGCTGTGTTTGTAAATCAAGACTGGAACGGCGACCCAAGCCCCGAAGTGCGTCAGGGATTATGGATCATCATTGAATGCCGTCAAATCTATTAAAAGGACATGTGGCATGGGAAAAACGTTTTAGCTCTCACCCTGGTACGTTGTTATTTACTCGGGCTTTTTCTTCCTAAATTTGTCATTTTCATTTTTTTCTTTCGTTTTTCATTTCGCCTCGTCGTTTTTCGTTTGGCAGGGTATAATGAGCAAAAGCTAACTCTACAGCTGCTGTTTCTTAACTTACCATGATAGAGCCTCCCCAAAAACAATGTAATGATCTAAGCCAAGTTTACAATCTCAAAGAGGTACATCATGATCAAAATGTGCTCAAAGCATATACCACGCGGTATCAATATGCTCAGAATATACAAGCAACACTTTTTTGCATCTTTCGTGTGGCTTCGTAAACTGGTTTTGCGAAGGCTTGCACGCAAAAAGCTGTTCATTTTTAAAGAAACAAACTATGTCAACCTGACCGAGTGGTTGAATTATTGACCTAGCGGCACAAAAATTATCACCAATTGAGAAATCTTAGAGAAAAATCGCATCGCTTTTCCCGTGAAGCTCCATCCTTGTTAGTTTGGAGACCACTGAGTAATCGCATCGACCTCCTTATCGCTATTGTAGTATCGTCCGCTCTCACAGCCCGACCAAACTCTAAGTCAGGTGTTACCGTGAGTATTTGCCCAATACCCCGGTAATAACAACAATAGCAATCGTAAAACGTCCGAGGCGTCCCAACACGTCACGCCCCCTCCCCCCCCCCCCCACGCGCCACCACCCCAAGGCCAACTCTCTCGCGCAACTCCACTTGCCTGGCGCGTGGGCGCCCTAAACAACTGCCATACACCACAGCTATGAAAACCGGCGAATCAGGGCGAGGGTTTCATTATTAGAGAGAATGTTTCACAGCTAAAGGTATTGAGGCAAACATCATATTTAATGAAATAGGCTCACTTTGGTTACTATAAGTTTTCCTTTTAAGTTTAAAAGCCACTCAAAACGACCCCGTTTCACCACTTGAAGAGAGTGTGTCTAGTGTTTTCAATTTTCGAAACATACGCTTGAGGGGGATGGGGGTCGCAGCTATCTAGGGTTAATTTTGGTGCTTAAATATGCGGTTGAGTCTTGCACCATCGTACCGATGGCTGTGCGTCGAACAAATACAATGCCAAAAACTTAACCAATCAGTGGGCAGGAAAGGACGAACGCACCGGCTTATATGTGGCGAGTAACTGCGCACTAGTGACATGACCATTATCTTGGCTGCTACGGTCTCGTGCGTATGGTGGGAGCGCTGGCGGTATAGAGCGGTAGGCACTTGAAGATCTCTTGCGTAATTCGAGACGGAAAAATAAGATAACTTGAACATGCCTGGCGTACCACTGACATCGCAGCAACAATTTCAGCGCATGGGCCCTGTTATTTCGAACGCTGAATTCGGTGCACGCGCATTCGGAATTCGGTCATTACTTTCAGGGTATGGAATTTTAGCCGCCTATGTCCGCTGCCAAAACAACGTAGAGCAATTACATTTTCCTGGAGCCTGGTGCAGCCGATTGACACGAGACAATACTTGTGCCTGATCTCAGTATAAAGTTGGCCAACATGAATTAATCGCGGTATGTATCAACTGACCAGCCTTACCATACGTCCAACCCCGTGCACGCACAGCCCTCCGCTGAGTGTAAACAAAACAAAACAAAACAAAACAGAATAAAAAACATCAACATAATGGCCGCCGCCATCGCTGCATTTGCAAGCTGCTGTCAGGGATGACAAAAGACATCCTCGAAAAGCCATTGGCTAGAATGTAAATGGTAGAATGCTAGAGCTAACGATACCTTCTCAATGATGCCGACGTGTTTGATGATTCATATTGCTTGGGGGCTACCTGATAACCTCGTTGTTCCATATAAATCAGAGAAAATTTGGGGGGAGGGGGGGTTGTGACGATATCATGTTAGTGGAGGCGAATTGCTAGAAACCAATGACACCAAAATTTTGTAATCGAAATTCCCTACCATCCTACATGCACAGTTAAAACCCCAACTTGACTAGACACACTCCATTTAATAAACACTCTCCTCAATACGTCGCCGTTTCGTTGCGTCGTGGCGCGTGTTTATGACGTCAGAGTCGCCGCTGTAGCGGACGGGCTGACCCCTCGCAGCACATAACTTGCAGAGAGGGAACGATGTTTGCTGGCCCGTTTTCATGAACCTTTGTATCGTTAGATATTCGTGTTTTGGTCTGTTTTTGTGGTGTTCTTGCGTGTTTGTTCGCGATTTTATATTTGTTCCTAACATTCACATACCGGTTACGACGCCATTATTCAGTTATTTGATTCCCAGCCTGAAAATATGATATCAATACAAAATGAATTGATGACAGCATCAATAAAACATGATTTAAAATGCTTTACATAAATAGCACACCATTGACCACTGGATCGCATGTTAGCCGGCGGACAGCATTCCACAGTCGTTTGCCAACCCGCTGTCCCGGCACGTTACTATCCGCCTTCGTTATCAAAGCCTGCAGTCCATTACTAACCAAACACAGCTTGCATTTACCAAATGCAGTGTTGGAGCCTCCAGCTTAAAAATTTCATAATTGTGTTGAAGGCTGTGACCTATGCCACACAATGAAAGATGTTTTGATCAGAAGGCAATAGTGACAGATTGTTGACCTTGATAATGTCGTTGTAGCCCGTTGAGATGGCCCGAAAACCCACGGGTTCATTCAGCTTTGCTCCTAGCAACACCCGTCTCGGTCACGTCATTGGGCGTCAGTAGCTCCGTTTAGGTAGGATTGATTCGTTGACAGAAAGACCACAGTGGCGGTCAGAAAAATCTTTAGAAATTGCCAGATGCTTGTTGGTTTGCTAGGTGGGTTGAGTCGGTTGTGAAGTCTTTTTTAAATAACATCCATTCGTTTAAAGGAAATTGTTCACATCTGAAGGTATTGAAGCAAACATCAGATTTGATGAAACGAGCTCCCTTAGAGCTATTGCCTTACTTTTTAAATGGAAAGTACTGTTTTAGCCAGCACAAATCTTTGCTTAGTAAATATGCTGCCCAATGCGTCATAGGTTGATCACGTCATCGTATCTTGCCCAACATTGACTGAGTGCCAATCAATGGCCGTGTCTGGAAATCGCGCTTACGAAGGCCATGACTTATGGAATGACAGGATTTGAATGACGTTATTGCGACGTCATGAATCCCAAGTCCACTTTTAAATCTTCTCCCCGTTTTACCTTTCCCCATTTTTGCGACTGTGTAGCTCAGAAACTAGAGAAGCTTAGGTCTTAAGAACAGGAGGCTTGTGAACAGTACCGAGAAGTCTTCAGGATGGCTAGAAGTTCAAAACCACATTCCAATGCGGAACACTCCCTTTAAAACAGATTTATGGAATGGAATGACAGCATAAGTACGCCACAGCAGGTACATGCACATGTCCGCGGTTCGGTATAGTGACCTTGGTCGTTGCCACAGCCGACATGCAGGCGGGCCTCCCTATATCGCCCACTGTTTGATAAACCATTCATGTATACAGGATATCAGCCGTTACTTGTTGTGCCGTCCATAGCTGCGTTGTGTGATGAGCGTCCCATTATCCCGGGACGTTCGCCCATTATGTATCAACTTGAAGAAATCTGACGGGTTCAATTACGTTGGTATGCTTTAGATATTTCTAGGATATTAAAAAGCCGTTACCGTCTACCCCGGACGCATTTTGTTCCGTTATCATGCACTGAGTCGTCACTTTACGTTCGTGGATTTGGCCGCGCGGGACCAAATCAACAAGTAACGCAAACATAAATGACGAATGTGTCTTATGCTCGTGAATCAAAATGGCTTCCATAGTAACAAAAACGTGATTTTGATAGTCCTGACGACAGGCTATGCGCTGCGCTCCTGCTTATCGCAATTTTCGTGCTTTTCAAATTTGGTCCATAATTGGTCCAGTCTAATGATGCTGGCTATAGAAGCGCGCAAATGTGCGTAAGAAAAATCATGCATCAAGTATGTGTCAGTTTGATGCATACTTCTTACCACATTGCACAATTGCATCTCATTACTGAAAGATTGTGGGTATTCGTCGGTGGTTTGTGAACTGTCATACTTATTGCTATGCTCATGTGGAGGATTATCAGTAAGAAAATTCAAATGACTCATTCAAAATCAAAACATTTCGATAAAATAAATGCCGTCTAAATTTGAATGCATCCACCAGTTGCAGCCGTCACGCGACCAACTGTCACCACATGTTATAGAAGCAACCGAAGTGGGGTCAGGTCGCTGGCAAAAAACTTGCAGAGAAGCGTAGCTACCAGTCCAATGAAACCCTTCAATACGTATGTGCCTCAATCCTCTATGTCAATAGGCATAGCTGGACACACATGACCATTATAATCGCTTGCGGGACCATTATAATCGCTTACCACTACAATCGGTGCAAAAATGCAATGGGGAATGGTAAGGTGCAATGGCAAAAGTGAAATGGGGCGTGACATGTGGGAGGGATATTTTCCCAGATACCATTTAGAAGCACGACTTTTGGTTGGGTGAATGGCTGGCCCTTGCAAATCATTGACCCTTGATCATAGCTGACCCATATCAGACCCTTGAAAGTACTGACCGAAAGCGAGGTCATTTCCCAAAGCCCGTTTCCTTATTTCTATCCTATTTTTAAACTTTGTGCCCGCGCCCACATAATTATTTTCCAGCATTTTGCCGCTGATGCGCGACTTTGCCACTGTGGTGCGGTTGCCCCCGGGTTTTTAACCGGCCCAAGAAGGCCTCCAGCCCGCATCTGGCGAGCCCGCCACAGCGGGCGACAATCGGCTGACATCTCAGAAACCCCCGCCCCCCCCCCCGCCCCCCCCCCCCTCCTCCCGTGCAGGTTACTGGAAGGTCCACCGAAGGACG